TATTGTTTTCTTACTCAATGAATAACCTGATTTTCTTTTGTAATTGTCCACGATATGCTCGTCGTCTGTCCTTTGCCATTTTCTGACTTTCAATAGTCGGTTAAAAATTTTCAAACTAACCCGCTCTCTCCCAAATCCGGGTCTATTCTAACAACAGTACTACATGCTGCTAGACTTGCAAACTTTGCCTATTTGTGTAGAAACGGCGCAAAACATGTTAGCTGTTCATGTGTCTCTCCGGACGTACTCTTACCTAATGTTTAACTCTATCTATCATTTTTTTCTTAAATAGCTATCTAGCGAGTCTTGCCCGCTGCACCAGTCGCCTCTAAATTTGAATTTAGCAAATCTTTCTCTGTATCTCAACAAGTATACACGCGTGTTACAGCATTTATTTGCTCGGAACGAGTTACCCCATTGCCTCAGCCACGCTGCTGGTGTCCGACTATCCAGCAAGCGCTGTGTAATCCTTTCAAAAGATTGAATTGTTTCATGTAATTTTCCATTACATCGTTTAGGAAATCTTCACTGACTGTTGATCAATTGTATTTCTCACATGTGTTTTTCTTCATTTCCTTTTTATCCTTGTAGTAAATGCGCTACTTTTGTACTAACACATGAGACAGCACTCAAGCTTCAGATGTCCTCATGAAAGTGAATATAAGTGCTTTGCTTTCCCAACAATCAAATTATTGTCCCCTTACGCACAAGTAATTTTCTTTACCCGCTTAAAAGCTTCTTTTCACAGTAGCTTTACGATTTGGGATTCAGGGAGCTGTAGTAAGTAGTTTAATGATAGCAAGGCAAGCAGCCACTTAAATGTAGGTTGAAACATTTATGAGCTTACGAGACTAACTATGTTCCCTGCGACTCCGTAACATGAAGGTCCAGTCGGAGGAATATGTTGCGGTGAGTATCTTTTTTCCCGCAAATTCTCCATAGAGCATGCAACATGGTTTTGTTACATTATCCCAGTTCAGTTAGCATGTCATTCAACAACTTAAAGTTCGTAGAAATAGTACACAGTATGCTGAATTATTACATATGTCATACTGTCGTTCGCGAAGCAATCAGAGGATTCCTATCCTATTACAACATCTCAAATTTGGCCAATATACCCTCTGCTAATGAGGGAGAAGTAGTGCTGAAGCCGTGAGCAATGTGAGCTCTATGCAAGTCCCGATTTGATCTTCTGATTTCTTACCTCTTCCTGCTATAACCTTGTACTACCCCTCTCCTGGTTCTCCTTCCACGAAAAGTGAAGACCGTCTGTACGAGCTATAGCGACGAAATTGCGCCGTGATGGCGACTACCTTCAATTCCATGCCGCTGCCCCTTTCGAGACAAGTAATTCGCAATATGGTAGGTTTCTAATACTCTCCCAAGTCAGATGGATTTCTCTTTTTTACAGCTCTTAAAATGGGACCAAAT